CCTATATTTTCATATTATATATAAAGTTGAGTCAATCGTTTTGCTTAGAAACCATTCATAAAGGACATCCACTAAAATCGATCTTTTTTAGACTCTTTCTTCTCCCTTGTTCGCTTTCGACAGACCCACCCTTCTTCGCTCTGGATGTCTGGTAGAATTTTTTTATTTTCAAAGAAATAGTATAAAGTGAGCGAAAAAAAAAATGAAATAACTTAATTCCATTTCAATCATTTGTTTTATTTTTTGATCAAAAATTTCAATTAAAAACACTATTAAATCATAGATAATCACAGAAAAATATCTTTTTCTATAGTAGATAACCACAAAATGATGAAAGACTAAAGAAAAAGCGTTTCAGTTTTATCTCATTGATCATCACAGAGTTCTCATTCTTCAAGAAATTCACTAGTTGTACATGCTTGATAATTTTCAATAAATCTAACTAATTGCATTGGATGGGATACTAACTCTTGTGGCAACAAGCATAGAATGGTAAAAAATTAAATAAACAAAATCAATATGCACTCAATAAATAATGATAGCAAAGATCTTCTTAGTTGTCAAACTAAATTAATGAAATGCACTTCGATAACTTTCCACTCATAAAAGTGACATTATCAACCAAAATTTACATTCGTCACTTTTACACGGTTGAGATAAGTCGCATCTTATTTTCTTCGGTTACGTACATTTCTTTGTTTAACTCGTCAATTTTATCTTTGTCATTAATTAATTATTTCGCACAATTTTCAAATTATTTTTGGAAATATTAATTAAGGTAATCATCTCCAGGTGGTTTTACATTAGGTTTTATCTTAATTATGCCTCCAAAAAAAGGAGGAACAGGTGCAAATAGACAAAGGTAAAATAGCATCAATTCTATTAATGCACAACAAGGTCAAACAGCAGTAGCTGATGTTGGAGGAACAATGGCGATGAGTCATAGTCCAAGAACAAAGGCTTCTGCAGTAACAAAGGCTTTTGTAGGAACAAAGGCAAGCCTGAAAAAGCAATCAAATTTTAGCATAGCTCCTCTAATTCTAGAGGGCGTAAAGCTAAATAAATTGCAACTAAATGATATTATAAAACTGCACTTAAAGGACTTACGAATTTCTGATATTCAGCTAAGTCGATCTGGAATTTTTACAATATATGTAATCGATGTCAACTCGTTTAATCGTCTGTTAAATGAGCTGACACCAATCCTTGCAACAAATGGACAGGCTACAGCCAAAATATATGTGCCCCGATCCATTCAACGTATCGAAGATACAGAAAAAGTCGCGTTTGTTAAAAACGTCGACGTAGAAATTCCTGAAAGTCGAATAATTGAAGCATTAAAGGAGGCTGACTTTGATGCTATTGATGTTGTTCGACTAATGAACAAAACTAAAAACGTTCATACAAAAACAGTCAAAATTACATTCGTTGATCCACAAAATCGAAATACATTCGTCCATACTGGTCTACAAGTGGATTCAATGCATTTTATAGCTGAAACAGCAAACCATAACACCAAGCCAGTACAATGCTATTTATGCCTTAAATACAATCATGTAGCAAAGTACTGCAAATCAAAGCAACAGATATGTGCTCGATGTGGTGGTAATCATCATATGGATCAATGTACTGCTGCTCCTGATTTGTTGAAATGCTGCAATTGTAATGGTAAACATTTGACAACGTCTAATGACTGTTCTAAATATATAGAATAAGAAAAAAGACTGCTAAATCTGGTTAATCAATATGCAACGTCACACAAGGCAACATCATTATCAGCTCTTAATGATCTTCAAGAATTTCCATCATTACCAAGTATCCAACATCGTCAACACCAACATTTAAACAGTGATATCTTGGAAGAATTAGTAAATATTCTTACCAGTAAAATGGAAAAGATCATCGAAGATTCTACTAGTCGTTTAATCAAATCTCTGCAAGAACGAATCAAGAAAATTGAAAAGACCATTGCAGCAGTAGAACGTATTATTAGTGATGATGATATGGATACTAATCCATTATCGGATTCTAGTAGCGACGATGATATTCAAGTATTAAACAGCAATAAGGTTAAACAACAACGTAAACCATCAGCAGTTACTGGCGAAACTAAAAAAGCCAAGAACAACCCGTCGTCGACATTAATTTCAACAACAACACAGTCAACAGCTATTACTATTGATAGTGCTATTAAACCTCAACATAAATCAAAAACAACATCCAAAGCAGTCAAGCGAAATCGTTCTCCCAACAGTTCATTAGATTCCACTACAACTGATAGCAAAGAATTAAAAACAAATATTAATGAAGATTAGTGTTTGTCATATTAACATCAACTCTATCAAAAAACACAAAGATGAACTCCTTGCCAGATTCTCCAAATACGACGTCTTATCTATAAATGAAACTAACCTGAAAAGAGATCACTCGTTCGCTTTGAAAGGTTACAACATTTTTAGAAACGACCGAGTAGGAAAACCTGGTGGAGGAGTATTATTAGCTATAAAACAACATATCAAATGTAGTGAGATACTGAACAAAACTGTTGAAAAAAATGAAATTATAGCTGTTCAAATTGCCACATTATCATTAAAAACAATATTAATTTCATCCATTTACGTACCACCAACTACTAAAATTCATACTAACATCTTCCAAGAATTATACAACTTAAACAACAACTGCATTATAGTAGGTGATCTCAATGCAACATTATACAATATGGGATCAAGAAAAACAAATGCCAGAGGAAAACAGTTACAAGAGGTAATCAATGAAGGTTATATTAATTGTATTAATGATGATAGTACGACATTTGAAAAGAATGAATATGAAGAAAAAATTGATTGGATATTAGCCAGTCAACCACTTCACTCATTAATATCAAACGTCGAAACACATCCAACAATTGGTACGTTAAGTGGTCACAAACCATTAACCTTCGACATCCCAATTGGAACTAAACCAAAACCTGCATCTCCAAGATTATCCCTTAACTTCAAAGCAGCAAATTGGCCAAAATTCAGAAATAAATTAAATGAACAGCTAATGTTATGGAACAAAAATCGTATTATAGATTCAGAATCAGATATAGAAGAATATACGTCGTTCATTACCAACACCATTACAGCAGCAACACAAGAAGCCATAACAACATCAAGGCAACTGAATACAAACATTAAACTAAGTGAAGTATCCAAACATCTGAACCAGCTCAAAACATACAACTTATCGAAAATGGAAGAAGACTGGTGAAGATAGTGAGAAACAACAATATTATAAATACAAGATCCTACTAATAAATTCACTTAGAAACGGACAGAAAGGACAACTTCAACAAACGTGTATGCCGTCACTATGTCAAAAGAAAATGTATTCTGACTCAGTATGGCTTACAGTTCGCAAGTTCCACAACAAAAGAATTAAACAAAATCATACCAGTAACATCAAATACAACAACGTTACAGCAACATCAGACAAGGAAAAAAGCCGACCTATTTGCTGATTACTTCCAAAATGAAGTATATGTCAAACCACCCGACACACTACCATTTCATCAGCAAGTTACAAGGCAAACGTACGACATCAAAAACAGATCTTCTAACACGAAGCTAAACAAGTGGAAGAAGATCACAACTAAAGAAGTTAAATGGAATATCAAACAACTCCGAAATAGTTCCTGTGAACCTGACAACATTCATAATAGGTGTTTGAAGAACTACACGAAATTATTTATTCAACATTTAACTAAACTATTCAACTTTATATTAAATATTGGATATATACCAAATGGATGGAAAAAGGCTAATATTATACTTTTGCTAAAGCCTAATAAAGATAAGCAACATCCTTCAAGTTATCGTCCAATAAGTTTCCTTAGCTGCCTCGGCAAACTACTGGAGAAAATAATGAAGCAACGACTGATGGTTATTCTGGAACAACGAAACATCCTACCAGAACATCAAGCTGGCTTCAGACCTAAAAAGAGCACCTTAAACAACATCATAAGGTTAACTAAATATGCACGTAATCATCTACAACAAAATGGTCGTTGACGATATTCAGCTGTCATTTTATTTGATATTAAAGCAGCCTTCGACTCTGTCTGGCATGATGGATTAATATATAAATTAAATGAATTACGTATTCCACAATATTTAATGTATTATCTCATATCATTCCTACAAAATCGAACTGCTTCAATTGAAATAGAAAACAGCTTGTCAACACCATTCCATCTAAACAGCGGTACTCCTCAAGGATCTCCGTTATCACCATTATTATACATTATCTACACGGCAGATTCAATGAACGGACTACCTGAACACACAGAATATGGTTTATTTGCTGACGACACTGCATTATGGACATCATCAAATACAACATCAAGCCTTAGCTCCAAACTACAACAAGCTTCAGATGCTTTTCAAACATGGTGTAAATCATGGAAGTTAAAGCTTCAGCCAACTAAAACTGAACTAGTCCATTTCACACTCCATCCAAGAAGGAAATTCAAAAATCCAGTATCAGTAAAAATAGATAATGTAACAATCCAACCAACCAACTCAACAAGATACTTAGGCATCATCATCGACAAAACTTTAAACTGGA